CTCATTCTTCTATTCAGGCTCTCTGCTTGCCTAGTTTAGCATTCAAATTTGCGCATCATTTAGTGTGTCCGAGCAGCGATGCCAAGCATTGATATCGCTGTTATCAAACCACAACCACAACATCTCTTCCCATGTTCGCTCTCTCTCTCTCTCTCTCTCTCTCGCACCCAATCACCTTTACAAGCTGTGCTCCTAATTGGAGCTCGCGAAGCAACCCGAACCAGAGGCAAGGCAGCCTTTGCGGTCGCTGGCTGCCCAGCATCGAATTATTCACACGTAGACAGTCGGACTGATCGCATCGAACAAAACGTTTGCTCCATCAACTAATTGCATACACAATTATACAAATACAAATACAAAGTGTTTTTATATATAAAGAAAAAAAATCCAAGTGCTACTAAAAAAAGACAAAAACAAATATATATTATAATAAGTAATATATTTATGTTTACTACATAAAATAAAAACGGTGGTCATTGCCACTTCAAAAGTGCACAAGTTCAAATTAACAATTTTAATTAATTTGAGAAAATGATTTTGCAATAAATTGCATGATTTATTTTTTTTAAATATTGCAAAGGAGCAATTAAAATAATATAAACATTGAATTCTCTAAACGATTTTGATAAGGTGAGTTATAAGAAAATTGTGAAATAAACGATTTATTTTTATTAACCAAATAAAATAAATAAATAAATATTTGTGCCAATAAATAATTAGATAATCAATAATATCAAATGCCATTCAAAGCTGCTAAAATTTCTGGAATATAATTAAATTTGGACAAACATTTATGCATTTGCATTTGTTAATCTTAATTTTATTTTAATTTTAATTTTTATTGAGTCATTTAAAGGAAAAAATTACCACTTAATTATTATGATCTAATGATAATATCAAATACAAAAATAATGTTATGTAAATATTTTGAATCAAAATAATTACATACTTTTCCTATCGCATGACTGAGACTCAATTAATCAATTTTGATTTTAAGATACAATAAAATAAAATATTGTCTAAAATTAATAGTGCCTTTCATATTTTATATACCATTTTCCTGGTATTTCACAAGACTAAAAATATTTGCGAATATCATTTTAAATGAAAATTATTTTTATTATTTTAAATCCGAAATGGAAACACATCTGATCACTTCTGTGCTACGCTATTTAAAAATTGATTGATTGATTGATGAGTGTGCAACTATAATTTTGTGACGGCCGCCATATTGAAATGACCGCCATGTTGGTGACATAACCTCACACAACCTTCAGCGTATTTGGATGGCTACCATCTGATTTGTCGCTGCAAAAGATTCGTTAGATTTTAATTATCCGAAAGCACTTAATTGAAAGCGTGAGGCTAAAAAATGAATAAATAATGTGTTTTAATTCGATTTTGCTGCCTCTAATCCAATAAATGGGAGCAATCTTCGTGTGCGATTCCAAAGTTCATGCTGAGGCATGCTCCAATATGCTGATCGCAATACAATGCGCATTAACAGCGACAGAGACAGACATAGCGACAGAGAGAGACAGAGAGAGAGAGAGAGAGAGAGAGAGAGAGTAAGACAATGTGTGACTGAGAGACAGACAGACTGGCAGGGAGAGAGAGAGAGAGAGAGAGTGAGTGAAGATCACCAAAAATAAAGCACTCAAATTGAAAAGCAGAAGAACATTTTTGCAGTGCATTCAACTGCAGTTCGAAGTGCTGCACTTGCGATAATCTTCGCTGCGCGCTATTAACAAATGCAGCGCAGCACAGCGCAGAGCAGAGCAGCGAAGCGCATGGAAAACCCCCAGAAGTTGGCGTTGCCAATCTTCGATTGTACTTTGCACCCTGCCAGCAGCAAACTCTCCACGCAACTCTCGCACCGAACTTCGTTGTATTCTTCGTTAACTTCGACTTCTTCGCTTCTTCCCCTCTTCTTCTGTCTGACTGTGTCTGTTCGACGCATCACGCATCACGCTTCGCTTGCGTGCTCAGTGACGTAGCCAACTTGTTTGATTCGTTGACGTTGACGTTGAATGCGCTGCTCCATTTTATGAAGTGTTGGCTCGCTTGCTGCCCTCCCCACCTCCCTCCGTAACCTTCCACTTTCCAAGCCCTGCTAAGTGGCGTTCACTTCTGTCGCACGCCGCTGATTGGCAGCCGCTTAATTGATCTGCGATTTTTTCACAAACTATCATCATTTGCATTTATTTTGCTAATCTATGCAAAGCTGAGATTAGTGATAATAAGTCACGTGTCACCCCTTGAAGCAAATAATGCGTTTATTTACATATATGTATATAGATCGTGTGACTGTAAAATATATTCAGATAATATTTATGTGTTTTAAACGTACATAATGTGAAAAGAAATTAATCGACATCATTTTCATTGAATGCAAATTATAGGCTTTAGAGATTTTGCGTGATTTACAAAAAAAATAATAAAATTGGTTGGATTTAGATGAATAAATAAATGTGAAATACTCTGATGCAAATATGTAAAACCAGCTGATAATCAACAAAAATGTTGGAGTAGACTCCTAATAATCTACCTTATAAGTTTAGTAACTTTAGCTCTCAAATTGCGGAAAATATAGGCTTTTGCCGTTGGTGGTGGGTGGGAGTGGGCGTGCTCCAAAAATGTATATTAGGAGGGAGTGGTAGATTCAGATCTTTGAAGGACGTCGCCAAGAGCCAACCAACTAAATTTGGTAACTATAGCTTTCAAATTGTGAGAGCTGCGGTTTTATCGATATACGATTATCGATTTTGATCGATTTTCTTGCCTCCTCGTGGACGTAGCACCCAAATTTCAACACTTTGTCTGACGCAATACATTTTCTAAAATGTGAGTAAATAATTGAAGCAAGTAAAATATTATTAAATTTACATACAGATAAACCATAAAATTGACAAATTTGAGTCTTGTTGCAAGAGAGTTCTGTGACAGGCCTTGAAGTCACTTCTAAAAAGAATTGCTAATTGGTAAAGTAGTATATAATTTTACTATAAAAATATTGAAAATGTTCGCTGCAAATCTTTGACACACTTTAAAATTTACAACTTTTGATATATTGTTCTGCTGAGTTAATTATATATTTATTTTTACTATTTTAACTAAATTTTTTTTATAATACTTTTCTTTAGCAGTGCTACTTATATAATTTCCGGTTCTCTCTCTCTCTCTTCTCTTTGTATATATTTGTGGCTCACGTATTCAAATTTCATGGCTGGGCTGATGAAACGCATATTTATGTTACAAAAGTCCGCCAAAAGCACGCGAACTTTCTTTTAAATTAAAACTGAAAATTAGCTATACATTGTACACATTACATGTAAATATATATATATATAAATATATACATGTGTGTGGATGTTGAACGTAACAAGGTCAATTAGTTGTAACGGGTTCATTTAGTTACTGCGCCTCTTACTGTATTCATTTCTTAATCGCAGCATAATCAGTGCACAGCGATTTAGCATCAATCATGCAGATAATTTAATAATTGCCTTCACATACACACATATATATATATATATATATATATATATATATATATATATATAAATATATATAAAGTTAAAGCTCATAAATATAATTTGATAGCTCGAATTGATCAGTATTCGTGGCGTTATCAGCGACGAGTCGCTGCTGTTAACTGATTGACACCCGAATTGATTGACAATCACAAGAATTGGGGGAATGCGATTATGGCATTGAATCACCCGCAGCCAAATCCACTGGCGACTAGCTGACAAAAGAGGCGTGGCTTGCCACTTGCAGGTGTGTGTGTGTGTGTGTGTGTGGTTGTGTGCAGAAAATAATCAATTCGAATTTTAAGCTAAAAAATTAACTCGGAATTTATGCAATTTGTGTTTTTTTTTCACCGTTGTCGTCGTCGTCGTCGTCGTCGCCGTCGACGTCGCTGTCAACGTCAACGTCTTCTTTAGCTGATGCAATGAGGCAGAATATTTGCATATGAATTTGTCTTGTCTTCAGCGAACCATGAGGGGTAAATGTCTGTGTCTGCGCGGTGCGGGGGGTGCTGGCTGTGGGAAAAACGAGCGAGCAGCGAACAGCGAACAGCGCTCGTGTTCTGTTCGTTTACCGGCTTGAAGAGAGTTCGGGTTCGCAACACAGTCTCGCTCTTCCATTGCTCTCACTCTCTACGTCTCTCTGTCTCTGTGTGTGTGTGTGTGTTCGCTCTCTTGGCAATGATCAATCAACTGCAGCGACTGCCTAACAGACATAAATTGTTCTACTAATCGGGCGAACGCCGCATTCATTCACAACTCGTTTGCGTTGTCACACAGAAGGCAAATCCATAAAAAAAAAAACAGAAACAAAATAAAGAATTGCGCCTGCTTCGTCGCTTTGCAATTCGCCGTTCGACATTCGTATTTTGAATTTCGTGATTCGTGTTTCGTGTCCGGGTTCGCAACTTGACCCCGGCCCTGCGACTAACGCAACTAGCTAGCGGGTTCGTGCCAAGTCATCGAAATACAGTTTTGTGTGCTCTACGGTACGTGTGGTCCCTCTACGCATAGTATACGGCGTATACGTGATGGCTTTCAAAATTCCGCCTAATCGGGATGATCTGGAAAAAATCAGTTTTAATCGTGCGCAATTTCCGATCTGCGCTGACAATGACAATTCCGATTTTAATATTGCTTTTTAATTGAAAAGTTTATTTTGTTTTTGTATATTTTAATTGCCATTTAATAAATAAATATTTAAAGATCTAAAGGTAAATGAAAGGATACTTAGATATAAGATCTATTTACGATGTAAGTTCTTGACATTTGCTGAGGAATATATTTTTCAAAGGAATTCTATTGCGAATAGTGATAATATTATTTAATTTTTGATTTTTTTGTTTAATTCCAGCTTGATGCCAATTAATACAAATTAAAATAAAACACATGTAAAAAAGTTGAACGCCATGCAGCGTGAAGTTCAATAAAAATAAAAATTAAATTGAAAATAAAAATAATATTGAAAAGTGCAACAAAAAGTGAACAAAACGGCAACAAAAAGTGAGCCTCGCTGCAAATCTATGAGTTTTGTAAGCCAAAAGACAACGAACATTGAGTTTCAACTGCTGCCAAACAGATAACAATTAGCCAATTTCACAACTTGTAGCAATAACTAAATTTCTAACACACCACAAAAGTTGTTCAACAAATAAAAAAACAAAAAGATTTAACCAAAAATAGACGAGAAAAATGGCGAAATATTATATGACACTGATGCTGCTCCTGTGCCTGGCGCTGCAGAACAACAACATCTATGCACGATCGCATCCGAGTGCCGCCGATGAGGCAGGGGGCAGCGTGCCACTGATGCGAGCACATCCGCATCCGCGCCACCAGCCGCATCAGCACGTGCAACATCTGCAGCAGCACCATACACGCCAGCAGCGAGATCGCCAGCCCAAGCACATTGCACCCGATCCGAGCAGCAGCGAGGAGGAGGAATTACAACAGCAGCAGCAGTTGTATGATCAGCGCATGCGGCGCCACCTGCGCAGCAAGCAGGAGCGCCTGTTGCAACAGGAGCACAACTATCATCGCGTCACACCCGAGCAACTGAAGACCAGTCCCAAGCTGTGGCAGCTGCTCAGCCAGGGCTACCAATTCGATGAGTGGCTGGATGGACCAGCTGGCAATGATCAAGTGGATGACTCAATGTTGCAAGAGGATGAGGCAGAGCAATACGTGAAGAACGAGCTGCAACAGAGCAGAAATGCCACGACGAAAACAGCGTCGAGCGGTTGCCCCAAATGCGAGAGCCATCGCCAGGAGGAGCACATCAGCGAGGAGGAATTGCGTAATCTGCGCATTGAGTTTGTCAAGCAGCAAATACTCGAGAAACTGCGCCTCAAGGAGAGCCCCAAAGTCTCCGGCGTGGAGCTGCCCCGCCCCATTTTCGAGGGCATCGCGCTGCAGCAGCATCCGGATGAGTCCAGCAAGAATAAGGACTATGATGATTACTATGCCCGCACCAATCAGAAATTTATTCTCCTGCAACGTGGTGAGTTTTTTTATCCATCTAAAATATGTATTCTGCTCGAACTCTACAAATCTTAATTAATTCGATTCGAATTCTTAAATTAAAATTCGCAAATGGAAATTTTAGAAATTGAAAAAAAATCAACTTAGTTTCGAGCAAGCTCTGTACAGAGTGGAGATCACCAACCCATCTAATCCCTGATTTGTTTCTTGTTATCATCTACAGAAGAAAGAGAGTGCCGTCGTCTGGGCGGACATCCCTCGATGTGTTTCAGCTTCAAGATCGACGATGCCGATGCGGATGGGTTTGATGTGAGCAGTGCTGTGCTGTGGCTCTATAAGAACAAACAGAACTACACCAAAGCTAGCAATGCGAACGAGTTAAGCAGCGAGCAGAGGAAGCAAACGATTGTTGTCTCCGAGGTGGAGCAGCAGCTGGACTCCGGCTATCTGCCGCTGACCAAGACGATAGCCATACAGTCGGTGAATGTGCAAGGTAAGCCAAAATACGGAATTTTCCCACTTACACTACACTCAGAAAAAAAATCCACTTGAAAGACTAAACTAGAAAACTAGAAAGTAAATTTCTAAAATAGAAAATCAAGTTAGTTTGAATTCTTCTAAGAAAATATAGGTCATTAAAATATTTGAATATTAGCGCATTTCATTACCATTTTCTGAATTTCAAAAAGGATTTTTTCTAAGGATTTTTTCTTTTTAGAAATGCATTTCATAATAATAGAAAATATTTCTAAAAAATAGAAAAATAAATTATATATTTTTGATTCTACATTTTGGACAAGCCTTTCTAATTTTCAGAAAAATTATTTCTTATACTTAAAAATTTATTCTGCAAAAAATACAATTTTTGTAAGTTTTTAGGCTAACTTTTTGTGAGTGTAAGCAAAACCCATCAATCAGCCGACCTTTGCCCAGCTTTGCCCTTAGTGGAAAAACCCAAAGTCAGCGTCCTTTTTCTGTTCAGCATATCATGCTCTATATTATATACAATATGGGTATTATAATAATAATATAGCACACCGATAAGTGTCGATGAGGGCCATTGGCAACTGTTCATTGTTCATCATTGTTATTGTTATTATTATTGTTATTGTTATTTTTATTGTTGTACTTTCTTTTTTTTATTTTTGTTGGTCGAAAGGTTATTGATAGGCAGGCACGGGAATTGTGGGTGAATAACTTGGCTTCGAGATCAAAATCTATATTTATAAATATTTTCTTCTTGACAAATATTTGTGTGTCGCAAAAAAAAATGAACTTTGTTCCCCATACAGCTGGCAAGCAAAAATGGCCGAGTTATTCACGGGGATGGAGAGCTGGAGATAAGCACAGCTCAACATCGAATCAAATCCAACGAATAATGCCTAATCGAAATAAATCAAATTACAATCAATTTCATTCGTAATTTCAGTGGAACTCGGTGAGGAAACAAAGAATTTACAGACAAAAATTGCACAGAAATTGAAAAAAATAACGCCTGAAACTAGAAAGTATTTATTGTTTTTAGAATTCATTTATAAATTAAAGAAAAAAAATTCAAAGAACTAAAAAAAAAATTGAGTTGGACTCCTAAGAAATGCATTTCTAAAAAACAGAAATACAAACAATCATTTTTGGAAAAAATCTTTCATAAAATGCAGAAAGAAGTAAAGAAATTTATTGGCCTAACTTTTATATTAAATGAAATTCGAAAAGAAATTAAGAAAAGAAAATCGATAAACGCCAAAAGTGTGTCCAATTCCTAAAATTAATATTTTTTCTGAGTGTAATATAAACTAAGCTACAAAGGATTTTGCGAGTAGTAAATAAGTATTACTTTATCCCCCTAATGGATTTAGTTAGTTGCTAGAATATTTAGATTCACAAGGACCAATACTAATCAGGACATCTTCTATTTTGCTCAACAGATGAGTGGATGAAAATCAACATTGAATGGCCGATCAAGCGCTGGTTCGGAAATCGCGATCTCAGTCATCTCATACAGATATCATGCGAATCGTGCGACATTGGCAGCATGGAGGAGATCATATCCATCAACAATAACTACAGACCCTTCATCATGATCGACACCCAGAATCGCCGCAGCAAGTCTCGCCAGAAGCGCAATATTAACTGTTCCAGCGGTGTGACGGAATGTTGCCGCGAGAAACTATATATTTCATTCGCCGACATCGGCTGGGACAATTGGATAATGCAGCCGAAGGGCTACGATGCCTATTTCTGTCGCGGCTCCTGCAGCTCCGTGGCGAGTGTTGCCCAGGCGGCATCGCATCACAGCTCCTTGCTGGTGGGTGTTTTTTTATTTTAATTCAACTCATCTTTTACTCAATGTTTTTTTTTTTTTTGGTTTTGTCTTACAGAAAATCCTCTCCACAAATGGTTCACGGAAGCCATTGGATCTGGTGCCCTGCTGTACCGCCAAACAGTATTCCTCGTTGCAGTTGGTCGTGCTGGACTCCAACAACTCGGCGACAGTCAAAACGCTGCCCAACATGGTCGTCGAATCGTGCGGCTGCAGATAGTTCCACAGTATATATATATATATATATAGATATATAGTATATGTATATATATATTGCAAACAGCATCGAGAAACCCCCTCAAAAAAATATCGGACAAATTAGATATAGCTCACAATCGCTAGCCCACTTCATAACTGCATATATATATATTTATATATATATATATGTCGATAGATGTTTTCAATTAATTTAATGTCATTTTCAATGCATTTACATGAACATAATTTAATCGTCATCTAAATGTCGTCAAAAAGCTGCCATTAGTCGTAATCGCAATTAGTTAGTTAAATTAGTAGTTGAAGCTAAAGTGTGTGTACTTAAGCCATCATTTAAAGTTAGTTTAACTTAATCGCCCATCAAATATTCATCTAGTAATCTTATTAGTTAGTTTTAGTTCGTTTTGTCTAATGCTTCTTCGTTTTTAAGTAGCCTAATAAACTATTAAGACGCAACAACAAGTTGAATGCAACAATAAAAGAAAAAATACAATGGTTTTTAAAACAAATGTCAAAATTAGTTAACCTGTCTGCTCCAAGTGGGTGAAATCAAATACAATAATTAGTACATCTCAAATAATCGGTGTCAAAAATGGAAACGAATTTAAGTTCCAATTCCGATTCCGGCAAACTTCTTTATGGTATTATAAAAAAATGATCAACTGTCGGTTTTTGAAATTTATAATGAAATTGAGATGTCGGCAGGTGAATTGTGGTCTCCATGGGTAGGTTATGTTCGGAATTCCTCAATTAAACGTTCTTTCATTTTACAACATGAAACAATATTGTCTTGATCAGACTTCAAATTTGGAATTTAATTTCTTGTATACTAGTTTAAGCAAAGACAAAGTTTCAAAGTTTTTAGCCTTATAAGTTTCCAACAAAATACGGAATCATAAAGCTATAAACTGATTTGCTTTCAGCCTCATATAGAAAAGACTTATTGTGTCATTATTAGATGGAAAGCCTCGTTGGACTCAACCGTATGAAAATTATTCCTAGATTTTCCGACTTGAATTTCGCAGACTCTGCTTCCGGCAGTAAACTGATATTTTCTGAATGTGAAAAAGGGAGCTAATTCGTATCACAAGAAATACAAAATGTCCTCCTAAAACAAAACTTTAAGCGAATCATCAAAATTTGGTTATAAGACCAAATATCTGCTAGTTTTCTAGCAAACTCAACTATGAGCACAGCAGTGGAGCCACATGTCGGAGATTTAGTGAACTTTCATTAACTAATTTAAGAAAGTTGCCCATAGATGGCAGTTTTAGATTTGAATTTAAATGATTAAAGTACAACGGCTTTAAATTTTGTCAAATATACAAATAAATAGGTACATAGACAATACCAAATATATTTATAAAGAAATTGCGCATATAACATAACACTTAATTTCCTTAATATCCGTCTGTTTTTGTTCTGACTTCTTCTAAAGCTAAGCAGCGCCACCTTGCGGTAACCGTGGTTACCTTATTGTGAACTTTGCCAACTGCTACACTTATACGTTCGATGCGCAGTGTTGCTCAGCTCTAGAAAATTGCCTTAGTGTGGCGATAGATTATCGGACACCGCCACACTGGGGGAAATTTGCCAAAGAAGTAATAAGTTGGCAGTTCTGACTTTAAGTTGGCAACATTCAACACAAGGTGGCGCTGTTAAATTTCCTTTAATCTGCTCTTAACAATATTAAAACAAATTCCGAAATTGAAATAAATCAATTATATTTATTTGAGTGAATGACAAATCTAACATTATTTAATTATATGCTTATAAATATTTCAAACGAATAAAACGGACGATGAACGAGAATAATGAGTAGATCAATTGAACATTTCGTGACAGCTCTAATGTATCGTGCTGGAGAGTAATAGGTATATCGATGTGTCGATTCTTAATCGATGTTTCGTCCAGCACTAATAAATCTAAAAAAACATGAGGTAAACAAACATTTGCTTTATGGTTTTATTTAAATTAATCTCTGCACACAGATTCTCACAACCATTTAAACGTTTTCTATCTGCAACAACGCTGCGCAGCGCAATGAAGCGAACCCATCCCTCGGCCGATCGCAATTCGCAGCCCATTTCTGAAGCTCTCCTGCTGCAGGTGGACAGAAAAACGCCGGAAATGCGGCTGCTGGAAATCGCATCCGGTTCGGGTCAACATGCCGGATTTTTGGCACCACTGATTCCAAATGTCGTTTATCAGCCAACCGAGTACTCGTTGGAGGACTTTGATTCAATTGGTGCCTACGTCGCCGATTGTCCGACGGGCAACATTCGCTCGCCGCTCTTTGTGGACATTTCCAAGGAGCTGCAGCAGTGGGAAGCGAAGACCCTGGAGGAAGTGAAGGTGGCCAGCTATGATTACATGCTCAACTGCAACATGATGCACATCAGCCCCTGGGCCTGCTCCGAGGGTCTCTTCCGCGCTGCCGGCCAGCTGCTAAAAGCGGGCGGCAAACTCTTCACCTACGGACCATATGCCCAGGATGGCCAACTGACGCCCCAAAGCAATGTGGACTTCGATGCGAATCTCAGGCAGCGCAATCCCGCCTGGGGCATCAGGGATATCAGCAATCTCAAAGTGTTGGCCCAACAAAACGGTCTGCAACTGGAGCTAATCACCAATATGCCGTCCAACAACAAGTTTTTGACTTGGCTCAAGATCTCCAAATAAAAAGTATGCTAAAAAAGGATGTCTAAAATATTATTCAGTTTGTCGTGAATAATGCATTAACGGAGACATCGTCGATCTTATAAAGCCAATATATTCTGTTCTCAGTCTTAAAGATATTTTTATATATACAAATATGTTATTATATATATATATATATATATTATATATATATATATATATATTATATATACATGATTATATATAGATATATACGGCCGGATTGAAGCACACATATTGTATACCCTCTATGCATTCATAACTACATATTGGCAAGAAGTTATATCATCCATCTATAATTGGACAAATTCGATTAAATCATATCGCACTTTGCAGGGGTATTCATGTAATATTTTGTATTCCGAAGCACAAACTAACCAGTTATATATTTTATATTATTTCTAGCGAGAGCCTGACGTGGAGATCAATCCCGACCTATCCCAAATCGAAGGCAGCTGGATGACTATTAAAATCTCATATTTAAAGAACAAGAAACACATGCATAAAATTTGTGATGATTGTATAAAATACAAGTTGAGTTGATAATAATTCTAATGATAGAATAAGTTGATTTATGAAAGTTGTCGCTTAATGTTTGTCGTTAGATAACAGTTGTCGCTGACAATGAGCTGGCCATAAATTTAACGAGTATCGGCGTCCACATAACTAGGCCAAGTGGACAGTGATTGACCCTGAAAACCAATGAAGTATTATTGATAAATAAAGTTCTATCGTATGTATATAAGCTGAGCAGCATGTCGAATTGAAGACACTCAGCCTTTGGACACCAAACATGGCAATTAACAATAAGACGCTGCTTTTGGCGCTGCTCCTGGCAGGCATTGGCTGCACTGCCTGCCTGCGGCTGGATGGACGCATTGTGGGCGGCGTTGAGGCGACCATTAAGGAATATCCTTATCAGGTCTCCCTGCAGCGCCATTATCATATGTGTGGCGGCAGTTTGATAGCCGAGGGTTGGGTGCTAACCGCTGCCCACTGTGTGGAGAGCCGGGATGTGGATGCGTTGAGGGTGCGCATCGGTGCCACGCGCAAAGAGATCGACGGTATCCTGGTGAAGATACGCACCGTTCATAGGCATCCCAAATACGATGCACGCATTATCGACTACGATTTTGCTGTGCTGCAACTGGCGGAATACGATGCCACAAATGTTACCCAAGCGTTTGTGAAGCTGCCCAAGCTGAATGAGGATATTGCGGATGGCACGCTCGTCACCATCACCGGCTGGGGTAACACGCAAAGTGTGCACGAATCGACGGAGGTGCTGCGTGCCGTCACCGTGCCCACGGTGAACCAGACGCAGTGCCAGCTGGACTACGATAGCTTTGGCAGCATTACCGATCGCATGATGTGCGCCGGACTGCGGGCAGGCGGCAAGGATGCGTGCCAGGGCGATTCGGGTGGTCCGCTCGTTGCCCACGGCAAGCTATGGGGTGTCGTCTCCTGGGGCTTTGGCTGTGCCAAGCCCGAATATCCGGGCGTATATTCCAGAGTGGCGGCCGTCAGGGATTGGATCGATTCTGTTCGTGGCATTTAAAATGAATACCAATAGAATGATTAATTCGTTGATGACTAAATGAATTTCTGCAGAAGTATGATCAGCATGACGATCTGACAAGATGGATCTATATTTATCTATTTATATCAGAGGCAAAAGAGAGATAATTCCATTTTAAACAACGTCAACAATGAATTGCGATTTATTGTTTTTCCATCTGTTTTTGCGTTTACCATTTTAAATTGCGTATTTTTAAAAATATTTTATATCTTTTCTATTATTTCTATTTCAATTTATATTTCTCTGATTCGAATTAGATATACTGTATCTATATATTCTTGTCAACATTTTGATGAGATATAGCTACATGTATCTAATCAAAAGACATAAAATCCAGTTCAGATAACGTTAAGAGTTTATTGAGAATAATAAATGCATATTTTTACACATATATTTTTTTCATATCTACATATTTTAATCTCAGAGATAAAAGATAGATGCCTCCATTGACGATCAAGTTAACAATTTATTGAGAATAATATTTTTTGAGTCTCGCTTGCTTCTTACCATTATTATTAGCTTAAGTATGGATATCTTAAAGATATTGGTAAATATTTGTGGCCAAAGATTCGTCGATTCGAAAATATAAATATTATATGTTTATATTTCTAAAGAAGAATAGACCTTAGCATCAAGTTCGGTTCAAGATCGGTTAACACATACATACACACGCACACACACACACACACACACATACAGATACATTCCAGCTGGTTTCTTGGCCATCTTGTCGAGCTCTCCCGACTCGAGTATTTTTTACTTGTTTCTTTGTTTTTCCATCAACCGTTCAATTTGCTGTCTCATGTCCTGTCCACGTGGTTTTTGCTGTTAACAAGTTCACGTGCAAAATTACACACGCACACACACACACACACACACACACACACACACACATACACACATATATAAACAGTTTCACACACTGTTCTGTGTCCATGTCGAACAGCATCGCTAACTGCTTTGATAATAGAGCGAGAGAGAGAGAGAGAGAGAGAGCGAGAGAGAGAAAGAGAGAGAAAGAGAGAGAGAGAGAGAGAGATAAATAGAGTGAGAGTGAGAAACGCCCCATCGATTGGCTCGCCTCGGGGAATGGTAATGGAAACAGGAACTGGATTGGGTGGGGGAATGGAAATGGAAATGGGAGTGGCAACTGCAGCTTTGGGTCAATTTGCAGCGTTTAATTTGCAATTAGTGTGGGAGAAGGAAAAAAGAGAAGAGAATTGAACGAGTGTACGGCAAAACTAGGACTATGACAGTTGACACCAGCAACTTATGATAACTTGCATTTTTTCCATACTTTGACCCTTCTTTTTCCGACAGCTTCATGCAAATTTCGTTTCAGTTTCGGTTTCTCTTTTAGTTCACAAATATTTATTTTTGTGTCTTGCACTTGGAGACTTTTATTCCGGTTATTGATAGCACCTTTCCCATGTGTAAATATTTGGCTTTAAGCTATTTCCGGGTCAATTACGATAGTTGCGAGTTGTGCACAGAAATATCTCGAGGTGCAGATGATGAATGGCCGCAACATTACAGCAACTGTTTCCTATTCGAGTTGGCCAACAAAATTTCGGTTTGTTTTCTATGCAAATAAACCAGAAAAGTTGTTTGACTTCTGTTTTTCTATACTCTGATAACGAAGGTATCATTGTATATTGGTTATGCAATGCAATGTCCGTCATGCTGTCTGTCGGTCTATATGAACACAACTTTTGGAACTGGTCTGTGCCAGCGACAGACAAAGTGTCAAAATTGATAATCGCAAATCGATAAAGCCACATATATTCCAACAATTTTAAGACTACAGTCACCAAATTTGATTTGTAGGTTGTTGGCGATGTCATCGAAGATCGGCATATGCCGCGCCCATCTCCACCTCCTCTGGCCTTCCGTCAAAGCCGATTTTTCGGAAAGTCTAAATCGATAAGACTGCTTATCTCCCACAATTTGAAAGATAGAGTCACCAAACGGGGAAGATAACTTGCTGGTAACCTCCTTCAAAGATCTAAAATGCACATATCTTCCTCTATTTGTAAGATCTTTTAGAGTCACCAAATTATGAAAGTATGTTACTATGAGATCAATAAAAAAATGGATGACCGCGTCCAGTTTGCCTCCCAAAATCGATACACATTAGTATTAGATTAGATTAGTATTAATCGATAAATCCAAATATCTCTCACTATTCGAAAGCTAGAGTCACCAAATCTGAAAGGTATATTGCTAATGAGACCCTTAAAAAATCCGTAAAACAAATTTTTAACCATGCCCACTCCATAAAATTTCCAAATATCTCATGACTCCCTTAAGTTACTAAACTTGGAAGTTAGATTACAAGAAACATTTTGTATAATATTAAAAGCAAAAGAAAAATCGATTTTGTTGTCATAAATAATTACTTTCAAGTGAGGGTTGTAAAAATTACTGGATCGGATTGAAACTTATTGGATTTAATAATATTGAAAGCAAACTCGATTGGAATTTTTGACTATTTATTTTATTAAGAAAATATTAGAATTTAACAATTCTGAATTAAATCAGGCTATGAATCAAATAGGCTTATTGCGATTTCGAAATATTTTGTATCTGAATTCGATATCGGGACTATATAATTCAGTGGCAATATTTGACATGGCATCATCGAATAGATAACTGTAAAATGGGTTTTATTTTCGCTTTTTTGTCAGACATTTGCCAACATTACAAATTACAATAGCAACAAATAATTTATTACAATCGACTGGTTGGCTGTTCTCTGTCACTTGGCCAGCTGGGTATAAGCACAAACACTCACACACACATCCACACACACACACACAGACACACACACACACAGACACGCACTTGCGTGCTCACATACAATGAACAAGTGACAACAAGTTTATGTTTGTTGTCTCGGATGTTGCGACAAAACAACAATGTAGACTGCAATGCAAACAAATCGACAAACTGTAATAATAAGGCAGTCCCATGGCATGCCATGGACAGATATATAGATAGATAGATAGATAGACAGATAGATATAAGTAGAAACGGATACGCCGAGAGAAGCAGACTCTCAAGCATTGTCTGCAGCAGCTGCAAAAACTTTCAACATCAATGCGGGAAACAAACAAATTTTACATTTTCAATGTCCTCTCGTATCAGCAGGGAATGTACAGAATTAGTGCAGACCCTGCACCCGTTGCACAATGCTGAATGGATACAAGAGGCTACTAAAAGCTAAGACAACAACATGCGATGGCTTAAGTGCTGCCACAAGTCGTTAGTCTGTGGGTCACTTGCCTTATCAGTCTCAGACTTGGTCTCAGTCTCACGTAAGTAAACAAATTTGATGACTAGTTCTATGTACAACATTTGTGCCATAAAGTTATTGACTCAATTTAATTTAAAAGTGAATAAAAACTGCTAGAATTAGTAAATCTATAAAAATAGAGCTTGAATTGAGATAACGATATTTGATTGGATTTATATTTATATATAGTTGACTTCATTAAATAAATATATAGATTTTCAACCATTGGAAATAATAATTTAATATATCTATATATATATATATATATATATTTGTTTTCAAGCTTTTCTGTGCATTTCAGCCTGGTTAAAATCTGTGCTCGCCCAAATCTTCAGCAACGTTTTGCAACTGAATTGAAGTGAACGGAAAACCAATAGTTTGCTATGTGCACAGCATAAGATCCTTTAAGCCGCAAGTGTCGCATATTATGCATACGCCACGCTGACAGTTGTTGCCTTAAGTTAGTGTGTGTGCTTTAAGCTGTCAGGAGGCCGTATGGTTAATGCTTTAATTCGTTTGAATGTGTGTATGAAATAAAATTAAATACATGTGTCGCTGCTTCTGCTGCTCAATGTCTATGATTCGGCTGTGTTATACGTGGCGTATGCTTGATGCTCGAAACGATTTCGCAGCCGGAGGCCGCTCGCTAGCTGCGTGCCATTTTTTATGGAAATAATATTCTTGTCAGGATTAAAAAGGATACGTGACTTGAAAATAAATGCTATGCACAAGGCATCTAGCTAGTTTCTCAGCACAACGGCAAGACTCGCATATCACTCCGTTTGTTGCAACATGTATCCGCCACGCCCACCCACAAAAATACAAAAAAAAAAAAAAAAAATAACAAATGAGAAAAGAGAACTCAACTGTCATCCGAACAGAGGCGCCATTGCGACTTTTTCCAGTCCCCATCGTGTCTGTGTTTGTGTTTATCTTTGGCCTGCCTTCCCCCCGTTTGCTTATCATGGCCATCACAATATTATTGTCCTGTCAGAGCCTCGCCTCGCCGCGTCTATTGCACGTTGTTTTTCTAATTTTTAAAAAAGCATATTGTAATTCTGTTGTTTACCTATTGTTCAACACACATACTTATATATATATATATATATTTATAAATCTAACCCGCAGCTATTTGTTGTTTGTCTCGTGGTAGAATTGTTCAGAGGATTTGCGCTTTTCGTTTAACTTCGAGTACCTGCTCCTCTGGAGAATATGCAGGTCAAAAGTAGGGACGTTTGCCATTTGTCCTGTCATTTAATATCCTCTACGTATCCTTGGCTGAAGCTTATGCTTGCTGTTCCTTTTCCTCTTGAGTGCTGCATCTACTTCTGTGTGTCTCGCTCTCTCTCTCTTTTTTTGTTTTGTATTCAGTTATGCGTGACATGTCCTGGCAATAGCCAGGATACTGATATATGCTTTTCAATTTTTGAAGCATTGTGCCTCGTTCTAACATATATTTTTCCCCTCAATCTTGTTTTGTTTATTTGTTGTGGCAAATACTTCTACTTGGGTTTAGACATTAAGACGTGTTTGCAATTGCAAATTGTCTGTTTGTTTTTTTTTTGTTGTATTTTCCGTTTGTTAGAGTATCTTTGATAGTAAATATATTTGCGTATCCCATTTGTATTATTGATGGAATATTTGCAAGAGCTACAATAACATTTCCATTTATGTAGCTCATGTGATCTTTAAAATTAAATGTTTATTTTACGAATGCTTTGTATACCAATATCATATTTACATTTATGACGTATCTTATCACACGCTAATATATTTCTGCTAAGTAGTACAAATACCATCAGATACAAATCTGAATAGGGCATATCTTTTACATCATCCACCACCAATCTTGAAAGATTTACTAATGGCAACACACAAAATTGCAGAAACCCTTATTTCGCACAGTTTTATAGATATTGTCATCAAGTGATGACAATGACTCGAGGTAGGTGATGACTGTGGGTCTCAAATATATAATTACACCATGCATTTATTCACTATCAGTTCTCAGTATCTGTTTCGATGTGTGCTTATCTTTATTATGTGTATCTGAGTACTCTTCCAATATTTGCTTCAGCTTACTTAATATACGTACGCGCTCGTTGGAAATAGGCTTGATGCACATTGGTATGTGTTTGAGTTTCTATTTCAAATTAGTAAGCTATGTCTTCGGAAGTAAGAGTTGAAGTACGATATGCCCTCAATCCAGGCTTTAAGTATATTTTAGTTTTCATTTTTTAGTTTAAGTTCCCTGCACACGCAATTTAAGCATGCATTTCGATTAATAATCGAATTATCGATTCGGCTGTTGATCCAGATCGAGAATGTATACTGCAAATGAAATCTGAAATGCTTCCTTCTGCTTGTCACATTATTTTCCACAAAATCATTAAACCCTTTTTTAATATTTTCCCCATTTTTAATGGGTTCAGGGTATAAGAAGTGACAAGTGGTTTACCGATTTGTATCGAGTTATGCAAACAGACAATGTTATCGATTAAGTGAAGATAAGAAAAACAGACCACATGAAAAATTAATAAAAAAGATCCCTTTACACTTGTAAGTTGGGATAACAGTTACGTTTTCTGTTTTACGACGGGCTTTTGATATTAGGGTATAATGGTCAGATTTGGTCGACTTCCACGTTCTTCTTGACTAAAATAAATAGACGGATATATGTCAAGTTTCAACAAGATAGCTTTGACATGAAAGAAAGCCTTATATGTGCACCTATTTGCTTGGCACATCTACATAATTGTTAATAATAATATCTTAATAACGATAACGATAACAATTCAATGATGCTTACAGGCTGAGAATATGGTTTAATATTATTTTTGATCTCTGCAGAATAAATGAGACGAAGTCATATTCATTTATGCTGCCCGTAAGTGTACATTATCAAAGAATAAGCCATTTGTATCCCGTGCTCATCAAAATCGTGTTAAGAAGGGTGTTTATGAAGTCGTTGTGTAAGGGGAAGAACATTTGATAATAAATGGAAGTTCTATGTAACAAACAATTGCAATTTCAGATAACTAAACCTTATCTTTATTACAAACCGGAAACTAACTAACTATAAAATCAAAAGTGACTTATGAATCCAGTCAGTCTGAATACCTCAGTGGCACCGACAAGTTCAGTTGCGCGATCAACCAAAATGGGGAAGAAACTGGTATTTACATTAGTGCTTGCATCCTTTGTCGGCAGTTTTGGTACGAACTCAATGCACTGTTTTTAAAACTTCAACAAAATTGGCTAAATGAATGTTAACCATAAAATTATTCAGCAGTGGATGGTCTTAGATGCTATACCTGCAATTCGCCCACAATAAGCTGCAATGCACCCTACAGCCAAGTCTGCAACAGCGCTGTAGCCAATCAAACCAGCAACTGGCTGCGTACCATCCACAGTGATGTCCCCGATGTAAATAGTAACAATTTCACGTGCATGGAACAATTCTATAATGCATGTAAGCTCTAATTTGTAAGTGAATATTTGGTTTTGCTTCTAATACTCTTTCGGCTTCCAGCCAATAATGTGCGTGAAATATTGGGTTGTGTTCATAGTGTAATTCCAGTATGTAATTTAACCGTGAGCACCCAGTGGACCCAGAATTGCCGCACCTGCAATTGGGACAATTGCAATCGAAACCCAGCGGGCACTCATAGCAGAAGCACTTATACAATTATGGCCTCAACTATGGCGCTGCTCCTGGTCAAGCTGTCCATTAAGGATATTATTTAGCGAGTAATAAATATGTTAAACAAGTGTGAATATTGCAGTCGAAAGTAATTGAAATGGTTTTAAATAAAAGTGCATAGAACCAATATAATCTGATACCTTCGGTATTAGAGTGTAAAAAGTACTTGAGAACACATTTTTTTAGGATGTGCCGAATACAGATAGTTGAAACCACTGAACATTTAATGTTTTAATCAATTTTGAGCAATTTATGGGTGGTATTTAAATGATAAAGATACCCTTCAACTCAAGTTGATTGGAGCCACCTTTGTTTTTGTCTGTTAATTTTGCTAGTTTAGCACCCGGCGGAATGTTGTAATGGTCAGCACGCAATTTAATAAAAATAAATAAAAAATAGAGTTGCAGCGCTAATCGTTTGGGACAAATTTGTCGCCTGCGCTGTAACTCGGAAAGCAAAGCAAAGCAGTACATCTGAGCACGCGAAAAGCTGAGCTTCCAAAAAAATGAAACTTTTACGCAAACGGAGCATGCTCAAGGTTAGCGATAGATCGCTTAAGGGAGCTTTCGCAACGCAGCCAATTTTGTTGTCTCCGCTTGCATCCGGCTGCTTGAGCGAGCAAAGCTGGGTATAAAAGGGAGCTGATCCCAGCTAAAGCCCTCCTTCTTTTTAAAATTATTGCAACGTGCGGGTGCAAACAGAAAGCTTAAAGTCGATGGCGCATGCGCAATAGGTGGCGCCAATCGAAAGCTTTTGACTTGAATCAGATTGCAATGCTTACAGGTGCCAACAAAATTATATGCACTTGACACTCGAAAAATAAAAACAATTTAAAGTCGAAAGTAACATTACAAAAATAATAAAAGAAAATAAATCTATAAATTCACTACTTAGCCATGGCACCTAGAAAATAAATAAAACAAAATTAATTATAATAAAAAAAATTACCCTCGGCAAAGAACAATTCAATATTTTCTTGCAAATTTTTTTTAATTTGTTGTACTTCAACTATCTTATTCAATTAAGCTTAATTTTGTAGCATTCATTGCTATCGGAAACCAGTTATCGATAAAATAAAGCAAACTTGATCTGCGCCGGGCATACGAGAACCTATATTTCATTTGAAGTCTATAAGTCTTATAGTCTCTGAGATGTGCGTGTTCATACAGACGGACACGGCTATATCAACTCGGCTGTTGACCCTGATTAAGAATATATAAACTTTATGGGGTCGGTGACGCTTCCATCTGCCTGTTACATACATTTGAACAAAACCATTACCCATATTTAATGTTTTCAGGGTATAAAAAACACATAAAATAAATTAAATAAATAAAACAACGATTCAACATACAAGTAGGTGTTTCATCTGGTGAATTTATGTTCGCACCAAATAAAATTAAGGGTTAAATATATAATTTAAATAAATTATGTTATGGAAAATTTAAATCAATTTCGAATATTAAATGGAAAAAGTAAATAATGCATATAAAACAAAAGTTTCAATGTGGGGGGCAGCTGAAGGTTGCTTATTGATATGAACTGATGCTATGAAATTGAAGTTAAAAGAGATTAGATTAGATTTTTAGTATGTTTATCGGGCTAGAGTCGCCGACATTGCGTTGCTATCGAAGCAGATAAGCTCGAAGCAGATAAGCTTGTATATAAGCCAATATCAGCGACGTTCTCTAATATAAACCGAAATAATAAATACAAGTAGTTTAGTTCAGTTCAGTTCGGAAACTTAAACGCACATCGCTCTACGATTAAATAGAATTCTAAAAATGTGTAGTAAATTGTTGGTTGTCTGTGCGCTGATTGCATTCGTCTGTTTGCCGTTGGGTGAGTGTAATAATTGCTGTAGAACCAAACCAAGGAGTATCTATGAAACTGACCGATACATCTCCCATCAACTCTAGCCAACTCCTTGACTTGTTACACCTGCACTGGCCCAGCGGATTGCAAGAATCCCAGGACACATACCTGCTCGGATGCTACAGCCAATTTGACGAGCAACTATTTGCGCGTTCATCATCAGTTTGTGCCCGAACTAAAAAGCACCAGTTACAATTGTCTCGGTCTTGACTATATCTATGCAACCAGTAAGTTTATTTGGAAGCGCATACTGTCAAAATACTATTTTCAATTCCTTTCGTTTTTTTTTTGTTTAGATAACTCCGTTGTTCACAAAGTCTATGGATGTGTTCATCCAAACGCGCAAGCCTGTTCGCTATACCTGAAACCAGAATATTCGAGCTGGAGAAAGTCGAAGTGCAACACCTGCTCTGGTAACAACTGTAACAAGAGTCCAGCTGGCAAGATGAGCAGCAGCGTCTTCACAATTGCAGCAACCGCATTGGCCGTCATGCTGTCCAAAATCTATGCCTGAATGAATCACCACGTTAACCTATTGCATAAAGTATAATTTTATTATTGAAACTGAATAATCATTTAGCAGGCTTATCACGTCCGATATGATTGTATGGAGTGAAACCCCTCCGAACTGAATTGAGGCCATATAAATAAAAGTCGGTGTTTCTCAACGATTTTAGAATTGTGACTAAGCTGTTTATCAATTTTAAGATAATCCGGATTCCTTCTGAATATTTCTATGACATTATAAATTCTAATTTATTGCTACCCACGATTGATAAGCGAAAAGTTTCACTGATAATTGTGAATGAACGCAAGTTCTATTGATTTCCTCAAGAAGACTCGAAACTTAAAATATATTTGGTCACGTCAGACAAAGTGTCCAAATTGGGGTGCTATGCACACTGGGAAATGGAAAAATCAAGAATATTGATAAGTGCAAATTGATAAAACCAAACTTTATTTGGAGGTTAGATTGCGGCTTACTTCAGTGAAGGATTGGTACATATATTTCGCGGGCAAATATTTAATTAAATATTTAAATTAAATTAATAATATTAAACTTTAAAAATATTTTTTTTAGTTAATATGTTCTATTTATCGAATCTTTTTTGATTTTTTTACTTTCAACAAGAAATTTTTGAACTCCATCGATTATTTATGCCTTAAATTTACAAGCAGATTCATTAATTGTTTTCGGATTGCTTTTACTCTTCTCATAATTTTTCCGTTGTACTCTAAAAGAATTAAACAATTTTACATTCCAATATAATAATGGCTGCTGTACTTACCAGTGCATCCAAGCAAGTAAATTTCTTTGAATATAATTAAAAGAAATATTAAAACGCGCCTAAGCATGTTGCCCATCTAAATATTCCTCTTCAACTAATGACAACCTGCAGTTAATGCTCAACTCTATACGTATTTGGTTTTTTACCGAACACTCAATAGAAACTCTAGCTGCGCTTCCCCAGTTGTGTTTTGTATACTTTTCATTAACGAGAATAGAACAAAAGAAAGAAACTATTGTCATACTCTCGTGTATGCATAATATGATCTAATTTCAAATTTATGATTTGTAATGACATTTTTTAGGCCACAATTAGCCATTTACAGATTTTCACTTGTGTGAAACTTTATTAGATCAAACAACAAATCTTTTAATTGTGGATTTAAGCATACATATTTTAGTTAAATTCTTAGATATTTTTATGTACACATTTTAGATTACCTTTAGCAGAACTGAGCAGATTATATTCCTTGTTCTAACTTTGACTATATCCATATCAACATTATCAAAATTATTTTGACGAGGAAACAACATTGTGCAGACTGCACAAGGTACAGATTTTTATCGATGTGGCAACGCCAAGCCAATAATAGCTGCAGTTAAGATTTATTGAATGTACATATTATGTGACAATTTATTTTTGATTTTTCTGAGTGTACTTACAAAAGTGCCAACCCAGGGGCATACCCAGCTTTACTTATAGGATTTCCGAAAGTATCGCCTTGAAAATAATGAGAGCTATTGCTGTAGCGATAATTGTGTAAGTGCTTTGGCTATGAGCACCTGCAGGATTATTTTTATTTAGGGGAGGGGAGAGACTCGCAGGAATGTTACTGTTGGGTGGAGGGGGGAGACCCGCAGTATTACAATAGCTCCAATTGCACATGTCGCAGGTCATGTTAATGTTGAATGGGGGAGTGTTTGACGCCATAAAGCAGATGTTGAAAAATTTGTCGATGCAACCTTGAAATTCGGCCGTCATATTACCTGCAGGTCGAGTGATCATGAGAATTAAATAAAATAATATATTATATTCAAAAGGTGTGACTCACTGGAAAATGAAGATGAAAGGTTGGCGCATTTGTACTGAGAATTGTCAATTAGTGTAGGCACATCTGTGTACACGGTCTTTAAAAAGGCCATGTTGGCACTGACAGTTGCATTGCTGCAGACTTGGAAGCTAGGGTTGCGACACGACGCCTCCGATTTACAGCTATAACAGGTTAAAGAGTTCACTAATAGAAACAAAATAAATCATTACAGACTTTGACTCATCTTGGGAGGATTGCCATCTCTTACCCAACTGTATGCCTATTAGGGCAACAAGCACTAGACCCAAAAGCACTGACTTCCCCATTGCTCTGCAGTTCAACACAAACTGAACTATTCTGACCAATAACCATTAAATTTGAATATAAAATAAATAAACAAAATCGTATGCAAAGACTTAAAGGATTTATAACTCAATTTTCTTATCTTATCTACATGAAAATTGTGAAATGGGTATGACAAAATTGTAAAAAAGTACCATAGCTCTTTATTTTTATTAATCCTATAATCGTTGAATGTGTTTTCAAATGCGTGCTGTTATCAGAACCGAGTTAAAAGCAAGAAATCGACAGCTGATTCGTTATTAAAGAATTTGTGAATCATTAAATAAATTTAAACAGAAGTATGTCAACTCATATCGGCATGGTTAATGGTTAATGACGTATTAAACATATTTGCCTGCACCCATTTAAATTGACTACAACTGGTTATCATGAAGTTGTTCAAATCAAAACCTTGTATAACATAAAGATTGCACTTATTCTTAATCAGCATCAACAACTTATTAAATCTATATCGGTGCTATTAACTATTAAGTTTTGTTTTCAAATGTTCTTGTCAACTACGAACGGATTAAGTTTAACTAAGTTAAGCGTTAACGTTAACTTAAAATTCAACAAATTAGAGATATTACTTTTAATTTGCCAGAAATATATCTCCACAAAGATTAATAAACTTAATAAAACATTTGACCGGCTTAAAAATACAGGCATTTTTCAACATGTTTTAGGCATCTGCAAGTCGAACTCTAATGCTGAACTCTTCAATCAATGGTTAAGCAGCATAATACGCGTATACGTAACTTTTTTGACACCAAATCCCAGTTTGTTTGTGTGTATTGTGGGCATTGTTATATAAACTGAGCAGCTCTGTTGGGGTACACATAACAAACTTAGTTTAGAGCACATGGCCATCAAAAACAAGCAAACAATTGAATCAAAAAACCAATCAGTCAACATGGTTACCTCTGAAAACACTGACGATATGCCACATGACTCGCAGTCCTCTTGTCCAACCCCAGCACGACTCACAGAAAATGCATCATTTTGTGCCGAGACAGAAAAACAACAATACAAAAATTAATTGATGACGCACTCACATGAACACACACACCCATACACCCATACACCCATACACACGCACACCCACACATGACGCGCCAACACTAATTGGCAATAACAACAACAACAACAACAATAAGAATGGCATTTATGTGAATCCCCCCACAGACGGAAGGCCAAGGGGAAATTCATTGGTTATGAAACGACTGCAGCGACTGAGGGATGTGGTTTAGGTGTGGGTGGTGTTGGTGGTGTTGGTGGTGTTGGGTTTGGGATTGGTGGTGCTGCTGGGTGGCACCATGGCAAGCAAATCGAAGCTGGCATAGGCGAACAGCAATCAATCAATTAAATGACTGACTGCAACAGCGACTACAACAACGTCAATAACAGCATAGTGCTAGGCATTGCAAGCACTGTTTGCCGATGTCCAGTGTTGGAAAAATGGGCAAAAATATTAAGGACTTATCTGCTTTAAGGCTATTTTGAGTGAGTTGACACAGCCTTTGATTATCATTTCAAACACACTCTTGACAGAACATCATTTAGTGCTAAAATCACAAATATTTGTGATTTCATGTTGAATTGGGGCGGTGGGTGTGGTGGGTGTAGCCAATACATGAATGATCGGTTACCATTAACATAACTCCCCACATTTTCAGTTTGGTGACTTTACAATTGTGGAAAGTACAAACTATTTCAGACGTATATTAATTTTACCAAATTTAACATACTCCGCCTTCGATTTCAGTGTATAATCAGAGGAATCTGTATTTGAGAGATCTCAACTATGAGATACTTCTTAGAAAATGTATATTAGTGTTTGTGTACAGAATAAGCTTGTATAGCTAGCTTTATTCCTACTAAATTAAAAATAATAATAATAATTTTAATATCATTAATATTCTTAGAATATGAATATATACTTTATTGGGTCTGAAATGTGTTCTTGTCTCTGCTAATTGTGTAAACTTCTCTCACTGACAAGTGTGACATAATTAAATTGGGTACTGATTTAAATGAATAAGCAATATACCGATATATCAGTACAATGTACATACAATATGATTAATGTGTTTCTATAGATATAATTTCTAATGTGGCGGCAAATTCTGCTGTCAATTTAACGATATCTATTACGATAACTGGTAATTGCTGCTTCCAGAAACACTTTCATGTCAGGAATACAGACAGAAGTGTCACTACTTATTAAGGGGAACATGTTATTATAGCTGAAATATAAGATTCGACATGTGTTATGGATAGTTCGCATTACTATTTAAATAAAAATACGTAGAAAATTGCTAGAGCTCGTGATGGAAAGTGCAATGCTAATCTGGCTGATTCATTCTGAAGAATTAGTTTTACCAGAAAATACACCAAGCATGATTCTACGATTCGAATAAGATCTGGTATTTATTAATAAAGGTGTAAGTCGGTACGCAGATGATCTAATATAAGTTTTCAAGTAAAGACCATTGAGGGCAAATAGTAGAAATGTTTTCTGCGTAGGTGTTATTATATCCTGATAAACCTTTCATTTGAGAGATCATATTGTAGAATAGGACGAACTTCGAGCTATATTGATGAGTTATCTTTTTCATAGATCTCTCCAGCTTGCATGGTCTAACATAGACATAAGCAAATATATATTACAAGCTTTAAGTTGTAGCTCAAAACCACTATTTGCGTTTACTGCTATGAGATTATAGGAAGTTAAACTGCTCTACCCAAGAGACCACAACTATAAGAAACACTGCATCATCAGATGTAGAGGTACACGTCCTATTATTAAAATATAAAGTAGGAAGAAGTCAACAATAAAATGGAATATTTAAACAATTCAGGTTATCTCTTTATTAGCTGCGCTGTATTAACAATAATCTGATTTAAATAAGTTAAGCTTTCTAATGCCACATCACATTGCTTATGCAATGTAAAAAAATTATACAATTTTTAATCGTTCAAAATCACATCGATATATTTTATATTTAAATATTTAATACCAGTATCTAGCGAAAAACCGCATGAATAAGTACACAAAGAATGATTTTGTGACAAGTTAACAATTAAATCAATATTTAATTTATACAATACCAGACGGGCAGCATGTCCCACCTACTGATTATCAATTATGCGCTCATTTACTCAACAAAAGTAACACAAAAAAAAAAAAGAAAGGACAAAATGGCCACAGCTGTCACACTTTCAGTGTCAAATTACGTTAATAATATGAACACGAAAAAACCAACACGGTGAAAACTGAATAAAACACTCGCATTGACCAGCTACATCGAGGCAGTTGGGAGTGAGGAGTGGGACTGAGGCGACTGGGGATTTGGGTGGCAACTGAATTAACCGCGAATTACAAATCAATTTAAATGCGGCTGTGAAGCTGAAACTTTTGGTCACAATGAAAATTAAAAAGCGGCGCATTTTCCATTTTTTTTTCCTCATCTGCTGCTGTGAAAAGCGCAGCGCAGAAAACTTTTAATTCAATTGTTGTCAGGCATGTCAATGAGCTGGCTCTGAGCAGTTGCTCAGTTTGGCCTGGAGTTAGATTCAGAGAAGAGCGATTTTTGGGCATCCTTATAGATGCGTCTCTTTAATGCGTGCCACTCGAAATTTAAGGCCGTGAAGGTGCTGTGTACCTTACAGTTTGAGACACTGTATTTGCATCATTGTCTTCGCCCTGCTTGTTTTGAAACATGCAAAATCACGTCTATGCATCTTAATAACTTTTCGTGCTTGTGCAAACAATGCGAACGTGAAACTTGAATAGCTTTTCCCAGTTATCGCATTTTCCTGTGGTTACATTTTTGTTGAATTTTGTTTCCCTTCGATATATGAACGTAGATATTTCGAAGGTTTGCTCTTAGTATTCATAAGTCTACATAAGTCACATATTGTGACAGAATCGAAAGTTATAATTTAAAAAGCTAATTTTAGGTGTGTGTGCAAAAGTTGTGCCTAGATAGATAAATTCTTTGAAGATGGTTTTAAAGTTGAATTAAAATAAAAGATTCAACAATTTTAGGATCTGCATCACAAATTTGAACATAACTCGAATCATGAAATTCTGTGCAGTAAGAATTTTATTGCGTGAATTATAAAATGTATAAAAAGACACATTTTATTTATTGATCTTGGTGTAATATATTTTAATTGTATTTAAGCTATATATATATATATTTAAACTATAAACTAGACTTTAACATCCGACTATAATACAAATAAATACTTATTGAAGTCTAATTTATATTATTATTCATATTACTTTTTCATGATTCTTATAAAAAACTATATTTTTCTAGGTCTTATTTTATTTAATGAAATAAATTGAGCATGAGTTAATTTTCGATTTATCACTTACGTCTCACTTTTCTATTATATTTTTGGCACTTAAATTGGTTCCATAGTATTCCATTTTAAAATGTTGTTACCATTTCCGTACTCCAATTTAAAGCGGAAAATAATAGTTGCCAGATGCTTTGTGTACGTCTGAAACATCCCACTCGCAACATCTCTCACGCCTGTTTACATGACATTGGATTTCATGTGTATTTATTTTTTATTTATTTATTGTATTTTTTGGCGTAAAGGTGCAAATGTGCATGTCTGTCTGTCAGTATGTGTACGTGTGTTTTTTTTGGTTTTGTGTGTGGGGCAATACTGTCCGGCTATGGTTGCGTTTCGGTGGCCACGCGTTCGGGCAAACAATACCAATTACGAGCGCATATCAGCAATGCATCAGGATATGGCTGGATGCGTAAGGTGAGGTTGTCCCTCTGTGTACGCTTCCTCTTTCGACGCCAGTCGGATATACATATGTTTATAGATATGCATACACTTGGCAAACACTCTTTGCAGAGTACGTTAATGTTTACGTAATAAAAATATAATAAGCTGAAGAAATAATGAATTATTTTTAAATATGTCAATAACATGTGTTAACAATTTGTAAGAAAACATTATTTATGCAGGTGTATTGAACTAG